TAATTGGTCGAAATTTGTATGAGCACGCGCAATTAGTGGAAATTCAAAATACAAAATAATATTTCAATATTACACTCTTTTTTTTTATAGCGACCTTTCCGTTCTCGATCCCTGTGTCTCTTTTTGTTTTACTTCTGTTTTTTTTTTGTACGATGGCGAGAAAGTCGATGACACCGTCACAAAAAGAAGCTTTATGGAAAACCACCCCGATCTAAGAAAAGGCAAGTTTTCCATAAATTTTACAACGGAAATAGCAAAAAAAATGTGGGTGGAATGCCAAACTAAGTTAAACAGCATCCCCGGACCGACCAAAGAATGACATGAATGGCGAAAAGTAATAATTGATACTTAATAATTGAAGTTTGTATTATATTATAAATATTGATGAAACAAACAAAAATTCTAACATAAGATATTAAGAAAATATCTAAAATAAAAATATTTACCTCATAATCAAATATCACTGTAGGTACATGTTTAAGAAAATAGCTCTAGTATTAATTTAAATTAATCACTTAACATATAAAATATTTAAAAAAAAAATAACATTAAGTCGACAAAAGTCAACAATTAATAATTAAGCATTTCTGTTTTAGTAGGTACTTCTCGAAATATTTTTGTTATTAATTAAATAATCCTTAAGTCATAACATAATATGATATGCAGTGCATATAGATATAATCAACTAGTTTTTAATATATATTATCTTAACTTTCAAAACATAATTAAGTTAGAAATAAATTAATATCGTAATGTGTTTGATGCATATTGTATAAAAATAATTATAATCATAAATAAAAGGTGATTAATATATTTTAATAAACCTTATTATTAAATATTAAGGGATACATATTAATATATTATATATATAATTATATAGGTAAATACCTACCTATTATTTGGTCATAATAAGTAGTAGATACTTAATATTGGAATGCACCATAATAAATTATAGTTATTTCAGTTATATTATTATACAGGATGATCATTTTATCATGAACTACTCACTATATCAAAAACTATTAACTTTTAACGTTTTTGAAAATATTATTTTATATAGCTTGTATATGTTGTTACAAAATAATCTTTTTTAAAAAATTATATTTTTTATCGTAATTTTTTATTTACTTGAACGTAACACATTCAAATATAATGTCAGCCAATGACAAAGCCGAGTCTTGATTTTAATAAAAAAATATATATTAATATTATATTCTGAAGCAGGAATAGTATTTGGAGTATTTTAATACTTACATAAAAATCAAATTTAGAGTGGGAGTGGTACAAGTACCTCGTAAAATGTTTATCTATTACTCCACTTATACTCTATACTTTCACATAATATATGTATATTTTACATAGGTGCATAATGTTGTTTAACTTTATATAGATCATAGGTATTAGAAAAAAATGTGTGGTATAAATAATAATATAATTAAAAAGTGTATTAGCTTAGGTACTATAGGTTCATATTAATGCGTAATTAAATCTGGCGCCATTACAGCGTAAATGATTATTCGTATACGAATAATAGGATTCTACTACGATACACCACACGACCCGTTCGTAGTAGAATCCGGTAGTAGAATAGAATCCGTTCGTATACGACCGGCGTTCAAGAATACGGTTTTGTCAAAGTAGTAGAAAAAGTACAAATATTCGTATACGACGACTATCGTTCTACTACTTTCAAGATTAGGCCCCCTGATAGTAACTTCGACTGATTGAAACTATTGAAATTGAGACGCTCCGTTTCGACCTTGACGTACATCGTACATGCCGACGCAGTACCATTGAAACCTTTAATATTATATTGTTTTCATTTTTTATTTTTTTATTCTAATAAGACATTCCTAGCCTATAAGGCTATTTACATCTATGTATAATTAGTAACATTAATTTTTGACTATTTTAACATGATAATAATTATAAGTAGTAACAATAGCGATAATCACAATAGTAATAAGTTAAGGCAGATCAGACGTATAGACAGCAATAAAAGTACAGCGCTGATATGCTTGTTGTAGTTTAAAAGTTGTGAGGCCCCCAGATAACCTCTTGTCTAGTGTGACACCAAGGTACTTGACAGAAGGCTGCCAAGGTATGGAATCGTTATCGAATCTTAAAGGTGGTGGAGTGGAATAGCGACTTAAACGTGGTAAAGGTACGTCAAACGTGTAGTTGATGTGTATTTTGACTCCCTTGTATTAAATAGTAATGAACATGATTATTGTTGTCCACTAAATTGGTTCACACGAAAAATCAGGGGATCTGTGAATTGTGATCACTATCCACTAATCTTCGCACATGATGTAGAGAAGATAAGGTGATATCACTTATAAATATTCCTGGTGTCAATTCCTAGCTTGTTAGTACTATAGTGGCGTATTTACGATTTTGGTGCCCTAGGTACACACATTTTGGCGCCCCTTTTTTCTCAATTTCTTTTTATTCATTGTCACAAAAAACTTTTAAGCCCCCTCTAATTTACAATTTACTTTTTCTCTCAGTTGATAGTGCAGAGCTTGAAACCGGTATAAACCGTTATAAAACCGAAACCGAGAACAAAATCAAAACCGAAACCGAAAAAAATTGAAAACCGCGGTATTAAATTCAATACTGACTCGAAAAAAATTGGATACCTGTATTATAATTAAAAACCGAAAATATAATATAAAAAATGGTATTTTTTTTTTGAAAATCTGTGTATCTTGACATTTTGGAAAGTTTACTTTACACAATAGGCGATCTTACGCTCGATCCAGCGATTCAAAAAAATATAATAAACTAAGAACGAACGTAAATAGTCCAGGTCTTGAAACCGAGAAAAGTTGGAAACCGGTGTACAAATCGAAACTAAAACAGACATTTTTTCAATCGGTTTCAAGACTTTCAACGTTTTAAGCCGTGTAAAAGTGATAGGTAATTGATAACCCAAACTGTATATTTTCCCCTTATTGCATTTATGCTTCCACTAATTTAGAGAATATTTATTTTACCATTAACACTCCGTTTATTCCTAATTAAATAAACAAATTATAATTTAGATTTTAGCCTTTTTTTACGACAATTTAATAAAATACATAAAAGATACAGGTATTCACTTATCAGTTATCATTAATATAATTTCTCAACAAATCCAATAAAATAATAATTTTGTTATAACCTCTAGCGACAACGCTCCTTTGAGGACTCAGGCCAATTGCCCCCCGTCGCTCCCCCCCCCTAAATACGCCGCTGTAGTACCATAGTACTATACACCACAGAAACACAGAATAGATTAAATAAAAAAATAGATTTCATCTATTCTGTGGTATACACCATACAATTTTCAAAAATTGTTGACTCTTCTGAGCTATTTATAGACATAAGAAAATTTTGATTTTTATTAGTTTTTTTTTAAAATTATATTTTCAATATCAAAAAACTTGAAATTAAATGCAAAGTTGGTTCTTCATAAGTTGTTAGTGGAAATTAAAAAAAAAATTTGAGATTCAATCCACAATATTCAACAACGTCTGAAGCAAGAATTTTCAAAAAATTCACTAAAATTTGCAAACTATTTTAGTAAGGAATCCATATAGAAAAATATGAAAATTCCTCCAAGTTTTCCTACAAATATCGGAAAGTCAAGTTTAATTTTTTTTTCTATAAATGTCAATAAAATGTTAATTATTGTTGGGTCAGTATTTTAAGTTTTTCATAAGAATAAATGAATGTCTACAAAATATAGCTAGTCATAATTATAATTATATTAAAATATATGAATAACTTATTGACAAATAAATAAACTAATACTTAAAAGTTAAAATTTGAATTTATTTGTTATTTGTATATATCTATTAAATAATAATGTATTGAATATTTCACCTATTTCATATTCATATTATTATGGACGTTATTATATTTACATTAATTACATTTGAAATACCTACATTTTGCAACTCATTTCCGCATCAAAACTTGAAATTAAATAAATTATTAGGTTTGTGCCACGAGCGAATGAATAGTGATTAGTGACGTCGGTACTCTGTTGAGAGATTTCCGATCTCCTATATTGCCGTACATGGTACATCATATTGTTTTGTCATCCGTTTTTTTACATTGTGAGATAGGGAAGAGGATATTCTTCTCGATACCATTGATTTAATTAATTTTAATATACATAAATATACAGCATGAACTACTAGTAGTTCATGATATACAGTATATTTAATCAATGTCGATACTGAATAGTTATCACTTTATCAACTTTAATTTCTTATCACGGGGCCGAACTGACCCCATCAACTATAAAATAATCATAGGTAAATAGATAATATACATTGTCATTATCTATATTGTGTAAAAAATCTACAGTTACTATTTAGTATTTACTACTAATCCCTATTCCCTACAGTCTACGGTAGTTGAGTAGTGTCATAGACAAGTACATTATATTATCACAACTAGGTAGTTCCACTGATCCTGACAGTCGTTGCAAGTTGTTTAGACCATTACGTGGGCACAGTCATCAGTGGCGTTGTAGATTTGTGCGGCGTCGCCTCGTTGTAGAACCGATTGACAGCATAGTCGCGGCCGGCGGCGTAGATAATTACGATAAACGATCATTGTTGTCGTCGTCTAGGTACCACACAACTACGTAGTAATCATCGTCAGATCGACGTCCGACAAACGTTTTCCAACGCGTCAACATGGACGGATCGACAACGAGTGAGTGTCTCAGCGACGACGATCGTGATCAATATTGAATATAATGATAAAACGATCATGTATCGTTACGTAACGACGTAGTCTCGTTGTAACAATATTTTGTCGCAAGGACTGGGTGGCGATTCGAACGTGTCTGAAAATGTTTTTATAGTCTGTAACTTTGTAATTGATCTCCAAATCGTTCGATCGTCGTGCCCCATACTTGATTCTATTCTATTCTTGAGATCTATCTGTCTTGTATTCAAAATTGTTTTTATTTTTATGTCCCTACTGGTCCTACGAGAAAAATGTCAAAAGCCGATCAGCTGCTGTCGAAGCTACCACCGCCGACGCTATTGCCTAGTTTTGTCACAGACGCTTTGAATGGTAACAATATGTAATTTTTAGTTATTCAAATTTTCTTTTGCCGCAGTTTTAGATGATTTGAACAGAACCTAATAATTGTTTTGTTTTTTTCAATAGAGCCTAGACCTGCCCAATCCAACCCAGTGTTGAACGCGACAGACGTGACCAGTCAAAACTTTCACACTCCAATGTTTTCGTAAGTAGACCTGGATTGCCGTGTCGTGGTGGTCTAAATATTATGTGGCTCATATTTATTTGCACGCAGGCCCGTAATAACCAGTAAAAATGAAGAGAATGTGGAATTGCCCGCAAGTCCTTCCAATGAAGCAGTCGCTGATAAAGCTGTTAAAAGTGAACAGTCATCGAGCAAAGCGGATTTGTTTAACTGGATGAAAGGCAGTAGCTCTAGTATTTTTTCGATGGTTGCCGAAAAAGCAAAGAATTCTGTAGACGCAGTACTCACAACATTAGACCCGCAAATGAAAGATACATTAAATCGTAAATAAATAAAGAGTCATTAATATACAGTAAGTTGTTTAGTTGATTGTTAAATAACTATTAATATTTATTTTTAGCCAATACTTTTGATAACACCGATATTGTTGTTGCTTCCGAAAAAGAAATTGTCGTCAGTGCAGTAAGAGAGGGTTTTCAAAAAGTTTTTGGAAAGGCAGTCGTCAGGTAGCCAACTTTTTTATATGGCCTTAATATTACTTATTTGTCGTTGTATATTTTGTAAGGTATAATACGGTATTTATTTTAGAGGACTTGAAGCACCAGATCAACCGTTTGCTGCACAGTTGGTTGGATTCTCTGCCGCATCCAAAGCCACAAGATATTGCATTGATTCCGTTAGATTACATGTGGTGAAAGGTCCTGTCGTCTCCTTTGAAAGATTTATTGTAGAACCTATAGAATCCAAGTAAGTTGGATTTCGTTCATAAATAAATGTGCTGGATAACGTTTTAATTATAATCAAAAATTACTAATGGACCTTTTATTTTACCACATAATATGGTGAGCAAGAAATATGTTCAAATGAATAACAAAACTTTTTCTCCAAAGGTCCAAACGTTATAATTCAATTGCAGTCAAAACAAATTATCAAGTTATTTTTTTCCCTAATTAGATGGTACGAATTTGGTCTTATGAAACTTAATGACATGCAACGAAATATAGATTTAGAAGTGTACACCCAAAGCGTTCCTGTACCGGCAGCAATTGTTGGATTGATTAGTGACGATACGCCCAAAGATTATGAACACATCTCAACCGGATTCAGTATACCAGTCGCACATTTCATGGCCAGCAACTTAAAAGTAAAACGACCCTAACCCGATAAGGACTACTGCAAATTACTGTGTTTTACATTATGTATATACTTCTTAGGTACATCCATCTGAGTGGCAAGAAGTAATGACTGGTGTAAGCCAGCGTTCGTCTTTATTAGCTGCTTCAGTATCTTTGGCCATGGCGTACAAAATTGCACTGGAATGATGACACTTTTAGTTCAGCTTGAAAACATTTATCAATTAATATTTTAATATGATTATCGATTATTTACTGTAATAAACTTTGTTATCAACTTGTATTTTTTCCTCCCCCCATGGATTGTGATTTTTAGTTATTTTTTATCATGCGCACGCTGTTATTATTAGATATATATTTGTACAATATGTCTATACTTATTACTTAATTAAAGAATCTAATTGCTATTTGGTCGTTATTATACTTTCTTCATTATATAGAATATAGATCATATAAATTATAAATCATTTATCCAAGTAATTAAATACTCTGCTCAAATATTAATTATTGATAAAATACAATGAAGTAAATTACATTAATTATACGCCCAATGTGCATATTAATTGACATGAATTAAAATAAGACATTATAACATAGTAACTAATAGCTAGAGAGGTCTTTCATCAACGATTATAATAAAGGTTTGGATTATTGTTTGGGAGCTATGATGATTTGTATATTAATATTTTATAAATAATCTACATGTTTTAAATTTTCCCCAACAATTTTAGATTCTGAGTGAAACAATGAATGTATTGATTTTACAATGATGTGTGTTTTTTTTATTTTTTTTTTTGTGTCTAACACGATAAGTAGTCGAAATAATGCTTCGGTTTTCAACTTCAGTATCTTGTTCGAATGGAAAGTGAATATCGTTGGTGCATTAGGGAGGTCAACATTTAAAATTCCCAGTAATTTTCCAAAGCACCAAGAAAAACAAAAGAAAAATTAAGGAAAAACTTTACCCAAAATCGATTTTGGTTTTTGGTGTAATTTTAAAACAAATGACCGTAAATTTTAACTGGTTGTTTATATTAACATTTTCAAAATATTTTGAACTGTTTAGGGACATTTTCATTTTCCATTTTATTTTTTTTTTTTTTCTAAAAATATCAATAAAATTTTATTTGTTGGTAAAAAAAGCTTGAAAATTTTATAGAAGGCTCCTAGTATATTATTTCAAAGGCAGATGAAAAATATTAAAAATCCTTAATCACAGTTTTTTTTATAATCATTTAAAGTTCAAAAATTGACAAAATATGGAAAAATCACAAAAATTATTTAGAGTTAAGAATTCGTAAAAATTTTTCTTTTTAAATTTAAGATTTTAAAATGTAATACAAGATTCCTTAAAAGATTATCTACCTTTATCAAAAAAAAAATGTCTAAGAAAGTCAAATTAAATTTTTATGAGCGTTTGAAATTCAAATTCTTACAACATTGGATATTCACTCGATTTCTCATGTAGCGTTTTCCTTTTTTTGTTGTAATTCAAAAACGAATAACTGTAGATACATGAAAATTTCACTGAATGTTTATATTAGCATTTCCTATATATTTTTACTCTTTTTGAGCTGTTTACGGACAATTACAACTTTCAATTTTTTTTAGTTTTTTTTTCTATAAATATCAATAAAGTTTTATCTGTTGGGCCAAAAAGTGTAAAAATTTAATACAAGGCTCCTGATATAATGTTACAATATCAGTTGAAAAACATTGAAAATACATTGGCACAATTTTTTTTTATAAGCATTTAAAGTTGGAATTTTGACAAAATGTATGAAATTTAAAATTGAATAATTATTTTGTAGTTAAAAATTTATAAAATTTTCGACTTTTATATCTAGGGATTAAAAATTTAAAACAAGATTCCACGGAAATAGTTAATTCTGTTACCAAAAAATTTAAAAAATACATAAGCGCAGTTTATTTTTATAGTCATTTTAAGTTCAAATTTGGACAAAATTACATAAAAAACCTAGAATAACTATTTTAGTCATTTTGTTGTGATTGTATAATATTATTCGTGGGTACTTGAAATCTCTAAAGTACACTATTATATATCCATGATAGTATCAGGATTTGTTGTTGATGTAGAACGCGTTATGAGTAGGTACCTAATGGATATTGTGATATGATTAAGGGGCCTCGCAATGGCATTGATTTAAGGAGAATCATTTAGGCAATTTCTAATCTCGTCGTCGCCACCCGAGATCTATGTGTTAGTCGTAAATGATTATTAGTGTGTGTGGCGTCCATGCGGGTCAATTGTAGCTCTCGCACGCACTCGCACACACATGTAAATATATAATAATATTGTGATCATAAAAAAATGCTTATTTGCACTTAAACATACGATTCTAATTCCAACAGTACGTCGCAACGATTACCTCAATTTTCATTCTGACAAAATATTATTATTTTCCACAACATGTACGAGGGATCGATCGAGGCACATTTTTAAAATTGTATTTAGTTAATTAAATATTTAAGTTGGAAATTCTGTATTTTTTTTTGATTTTTTTACAATTTTTACTGCAATTTAAATTACAAAAATTAAAAATGTGGCTCGATCGTTCCCTTGTATATATTACGGACAATCAGAATATCTTTTCAGAATGAAAATCGTGATAATTGTCGACGCGTATCGTTGGAATTAGAAACAGTAGTTTTTGACAAAAAAAAGACTTGGTAGTGAGGCCCCTTAATTTATAATTTATTATAGGTACCTATTATATAGGTCAATTTTTTTTAATACCATAGATAAGTAGGTAAAAATATTATCGTGTATAGAAAATGCAAATATAAACAACCAGTGAAAATTTCACTTATCTACGGCCATTTGGTTTAAAGTCACACCAAAAACCAAAATCGATTTTCTCGAAAACAGATTTTAGTGTAAAAATTCCCGTTTTTCCTTAATTTTTATTTTGTTTTTCACGCCGCTTATGAAAACTACTGGGAAATTTTAACTTTTGCCTCCCCCCCTAAAGTACCAACTAGATTCACTTTCCTATCAGAAAAGCTACTGTTGAAGAAAGTCCAAGCACTTTTACTGTCCTAAAACGTGATGACAGACACAAAAAATAAAAAATAATAAAAAAAAAAAACACACCATTGTAAAATCAATACATTCATTCATCGTTTCACTCAGAATCTAAAAGTATTTTACTATAGTGTTTAATTTTCAAGAATTTTCGATGTGGTTTTGTCGTCCCACAATATTATAATTGATAAACTTATAACACAAACATTGTGAAGAAGGGCGTACCCATAAAATAAATTTCTGATTTTATTTAGATAGCTATTAAGCTATATTATGTATTTTCAGTATGCAGGGAGAAAAAATATGTAGGTTGGTTCGGTTGGGTATTTTATTATAAAGGTGTTTTATACCCATACATTTATTCACCAAGTGTAAATACCACTTCCTGGTACCGTAAGAGCGGGGATTCATGGACAGATCCCCGTAATACATTTCCCCGTTAGACATTTCCCCGTTACCGTTTCCCCGTCCAGCGATTTTCCCCGTTGGACATTTCTCCGTCAAAAGAAGGATATATATAAGATATAACAAATAAAGATAGTATAAATGTTTATATAGCTTATATTGCACCTTGTACGGACAAATTAACTTAGATATATATTTATTCTTATAGGTTTTATCAAATATAAATTACCTATAAAGATATTGGTACGTTATCGATGTACGATATACGTTATCCTTAAACGGATCCGGTATGAATTAGTAAAACTAACAAATTGAAATAATTTAACAGTGTTTCGATAACTGTCGCGTCGTTATATTATTTTCGTTATACGCCGTCACATTCGTAATAGGTACATTAGATTTTTTCAGTAAACCTATTTTTTTTTTTTACTATTTTAAAATGACTTACGTAAAAAGTACCAAAGGAAAAAATTTATTAGTACATGCGGAATATATTTTTGAAAAGGACTATACGAAAAATGAAAAAACATATTGGAAATGCATCAAATATAATAATATGTACAAGTGTCGTGGACGGGCACATACAGTAAATGATGAAGTTATTCTGCATAAAAACACTCACAACCACACACCCAACATAATAGAAATTAGTACTAAAACTATTATTAACGAGTTGAAAAAGACAGCATCCAGTCAAGTAAGTTCAACTCCTCATCAAATAGTTACTAATACTATATCTACTATCTCATCTCAAGCAATTTCTGGCGCTTTACCTTCAGTAGCCACAATGAAGAAAACGGTCCAAAGACTAAGGCGTTGTGAAAATGCACCTCCCGTAAATCCGTCAACGTTATCAGAAATAACTATTATTGAACCGTATACATTGACATTAAACAATAAACCCTTCCTCCTCTATGATAGTGGTTCTGATGATGTTAATCGAATATAATTGTTTTCAACTGAAGAAAATTTAAAAATATTATCTGACCAGTATCATTGGTTTATTGATGGTACATTTAAGTCATCCCCACAACTCTTTACTCAGCTTCTTACAATCCATGCAATAAAATACGACACAGTATTACCGTTAGTGTTTGCACTTGTGCCAAATAAAACACGTGGTAGTTATACTAAGATCAGATATATTCATTTTTATTATAATTATTGCTCAACATTTTTTTTATTATTAATATTATTATTTATATATTTTTTATTATTATTATTAAACAACATTTTACAAATTATTTTATGTGCCTGTAATAACGTATATACCAGTATAGCATTAATTTGTATTATTATAATTATTGCTCAAAATTTTTATTATTATTAATATTATTATTTATATTTTTTTTATTAAATTTTACAAATTATTTTATGTGCCAATATTTTACAAATTACGGGGACGGGGAAATGTCGCACGGTAAAACGTATTAGACGGGAAAATGTCTTACGGGGAAGTGTTTACGGGGAAATGTTCGACGGTGAAATGGTGACCCGTTACCAAGAGCGGGATACTTTGCTCCAAATATATTTCTTTTTTAGTTTGAACCTATACTATAGCTTCAATAACAAAGATAAAAATTAAGTGTTCGTGTTGTTTTATATGTATATATATAGATGTTGAGAGCCTGAGAGGTAAGAACGATACAAAAAAATCCGAATGTCGTACTAGTGACTTACTTATTCCCAAAAGTTTGGAGCAAAGTTAAAATACATTGCAGGTTACATTGCACAATGA